GTGAAGTTGTTATCTTTCTGTTTCTTCCTCTCTCTCTCTCTTGTCTTCAGACTCTGAACGATTTTGACTTCCTTTCACCTTTTTTTCATGTCTTTTTTTTTCTTTTTTCTCCTTCTTCTTCTTCTTCTTCTTCTTGGTCGGCTTCAAAGAAAGAGTACTTTCGTTCAAACGTCGCCGATACGACGGGGCAAAGAAGACGGCGCGCTGTCAGAAGTACGCAAGAGACAAAATAACCAAACCGAGGTACAGTCAATGCGGGAACGGAATAATTTTATTTGTATCGCACCAAACTTATACAATGTATTTCACCTTTTATTCGTGACTAGCAAGCAAATAATTCTGACACATTCACACACACCAATTTGGGGGAGATAAATCTATTACCATTTTTCATACTACATCTGATTATTATTATATCTTTATTTTTATCCTCTTTTTTCCATTCAAATTTATTCTTATTTATTTTCAATTACCCTTTCTTCTTTATTGTTAATTTTGTAGAATTTATTTTGTGTTTTATTAATTTTTGTTTTTTTCGATTTACTCATTTGTACGAATCTTTTGTATTTACTTCTATGAATCATTTTTTTGTTATGAATGATTGATTATGTGAATGTAAGAAAATATTGAATGCATACATGTATAAATCGTTTAGCAAGCCTTCATAACAGGAGTGTACAATCGCCATAAAGTCGACCAATCTGGAGCTAACGAACGATCGTTTAAAGCGACATTTTCTTCATCGATAAAGTTTTACGAGCAGTGAAAGGGAGGGAATCGTAAATCCACATCTTACGAGAAAGTATAAATATCATGTAACATAAAATTTAACCCCCTTTGACTATATTCTATCCTACTATTGCGCTAAATTTATTTGTTTCACATCGAAAGACACGAATAAGTAAGAATCGTTTGATAAATTTGAAAGATAATTAATTAATCATCCATATTTTGTTAAACAAATCCTTTAATTTAATTAGATAAATTATTCAAGTAATTCACATAAAAAAGTCAAAGTTGTCTTGTCTTTTCATTAGTAATAAATTATCAATCGTTTCGATCATTTTAATGCTTATCATTAAAAAGACAATACAATTTTGATGCTTTTTTAAGCAACCCCATAAAATATTTAACATTGTAATTGAATGTATTGAATTGTCCGAAGAAATACATGCTCTTGTATCTTTTATTTTATACATTATTGGAATATAAAAGATAAATCATAAAAAAAAAATTATTTACAATTTTCCGACTTACTCCATTGTCATAATTACCGGCATAAATATAATACTTGCTTACTACATGCACAGTTATTTTTAGAAAAGACTTCAATGAGAGTCCTTTTTTCTCTAATGATTTCTCTTATCTTTTGACAATGACGTCATAGAATAGTAATCTAATGACATAAAAGTACACAAGGTCTTTGTGACTCGGACAACAATAGGTTGAGGACGATAAGCAGAAATGGAAAAAGCATGAAAATTCGTGAATCTCATATAATAGACGAATGTAGAAACGGGCGTGTCAACGTCCGAATGGATGGCCCCAGAGTTTAAATCGATTCTCGATGAAACGACAAAAGCATCGGTTGCGTGAGACGTGAAGGGAGAGGAAGAAAGGGAGACAGAGAGAGAGAGAGAGAGAGAGAGAGAGAGAAAGGGAGAAGCCATTTTATCCGTAATTCTACGAAATTTCAACTTCATTTATCCCACTTTCTTTCAACAATTTTTTTCTTTCTCATTTTTCGCTGTTCCGGTAAATTTTCAAAAAAATATCACACCGGTTGGAAACGGGAGTTTCGCGTATTTCTTTTATCTCCATTTTTTGATTCGTCAGCAGCAGCAGCAGCAGCAACAGCAGCAGCAACAGCGGCAGCTGCTAGTTTCTCTCACGTAGGAAAACCTTTTTCCAGCTTTAAAACCGAAACTCATCTACTTCTCGGTACCGCGAGGCATATTCCAAAATCAGTTACCACCCGTCCTCCGTGTTGTGCAACTTCGTTGCGCGCACATCTTTTATTTCTTTTTCTCTCTCTTTTTTATTTTTTTCTTCTCCTTTTTTTCTTTACATTTCTTTTTAACGTCTCTCTCTCTCTCTCTCTCGGTCTTTTCTTCCACCTTCGAAGTGGTGAAAACACAAATGGCTTGCGCCTCCGGGCACTTTTGACGATGTAGAAGGAAAAAGTTGAAAGGTAGAAAGAGATAGAGATAGAAAGACATTACTCTCGCGAGATGCGCCTCTCATGACAGTCTTTCTCTCTCTTTTATTTTTTCTTTTTCTGAACGATCGGAAAGCATTTCGTTCCGATTCTCTGTGACGACACGTTTTAACATTTCCTCCGGCTTTGCACTCCAACCATCGAAGTTACATTTTCCATCATTCTCATTCTCTTCCTTTCTCTCTATCGTAGTTGTATTCTTTCTTTTTCTTCGTTACTCTTATGTTAGTCTACCACTACAGGAATACTAACATTACTCTTCTCTTTTTTTTAATTTTTTCGAAAAAGAGATGTAAGGGAAAATTAATAACAAATCCCGAAAAATAGAAAATAGAAGAGAAAACAGGAGACAGCAGAGAAAAACAGTGTATTTACACTGTTAGTATGTACTATGTACTGTAGTATGTTGTATATTCATGTACAGGATGCTCTGGAACAGTATTTTAGATACAATTGTTTTTAAAATGAACAACTTTGAAAATCTATTTGATAGATTTATATTTATTTAATTACTTTATATTTCAATTTTATATATACAAAGGATTTTTCACAAATAACAATGAAATTATGTACTCTAGTTTTCATCAAAATTAATTTCAATTGATCCAAATTTTAATCATAATAACACATCACGCATACATAATTGTTCTCTTTTTTAAATGTATCATGATAATTTTGTACTTTTTTAAATGCCCAAATAATGTTTGTATATAATTAATCGAGACTTCTATTTCCTCTCGAGTATAATTTCGATTTAATGAGACTTCCACAAAAAGAATAATGGGATTTTAATCTGAAAGTTTTTAAGGTCGTTCTTCTCGTAAACGAAGTTTCATGCATAAAAACTGTAGTCTACATTTTTTACTCATTTTTCACGAGAAATCATTTTATGCTTGGTTGTACCAATGTTAACGGAGAACCCTATATATATATATATACATGTATAATTTGTAATTATGTATATGTTACTGTCAAAGGCGGAAATCAGGCATTACTAGTAAATCCTCGGCATTACTATGAATGTGAAGAGCCTTCAGACGAAGTCGAAAATAAAACTTTATGGAGTTTCGGTAAATATTTTTTATACTTTTTGCAAATGGATTTTAATGACTCTTATATTACATTAAAGTAGACTTTTTTTTCTACGCGTAGAATACTTATTCGAGTTATAAATCGATCTCCAAAGGTTCAGGAAATGTCAGAGAATGCAATGCTGTAAATTGTGCATCTTGGCAATTTCTTTGAAAAGTTTCGGTAAATATTTTTTATACTAAAAGTGAATAGATTTTAATGAAACTTATATTAAATTAAAATATACACTTTTGTCTACGCGTATAGTATCTTTTCGCGTTATAAATCAATCTACAAAGGTTCATAAAATGGCAAAGAAAAGTTGGCGGATTACTCTGTACAGGGTATCATACATGCATGTACCTTTGCAATAGTTATATTAATAGTTATATATGTATGATATACGGGAAAAAATAGAAGGAGATAGAAATATAGAATATTGTCTACGAGAAAATAAAAAGAATGAAAGAGAGAAAATTGTATCGCTGTAACCGGAATACCCTGTATAGTACCTTGTATCATGCATATACCTACATTAATACTTCTATATATACGATATACGGAAGGGAATATAAAAAAATAGAAATACAAAATAGAGCAAAAGAGAGAGAGAGAGAGAGTAAAAGCCCCTCCTATCTTCGGGATCCGCGTATCCTCGGTTCGGCACTGGTGCCGCCACTGCCGCCGCCGCCACCGCCACCGCCGAAGGCACGGTCGACAGAGAAAGAGAGATAGACTGGCTGAGTGAAATGAGGAAAGGGGAAGGAAGGCATTATGGGGAACGTGGTTTAGGCGAGGACGATCGCCCGTAGTCGTAGTCGAACAACCACGAGAGCTGGGCTGTCGTGCGCGCGGGCTACGCCTTATTCTCTCGTGTTTCTCACTCTGCTGACTCTCTTTCATCTCTCTCTTTTTCTCTATTTCTTTTTTACTTCACGTTTCAAACAAGACCATTTCTACGATCTTTTAAATCGCCCGATTTCAACGCGATGCGGATTTATTTGAAAAAAGAGACAGAATAAAAAGATCCGAGGGTATTTTTCAAAGAAAGAAAAAGGAGAAAGAAGAAAAATAAAAAGAAAAAGAAGATACTCGTGAATGTGTGCCGTTGCTTTCCTACCCTCTCTCTCTCTCTCTCTCTCTCTTTCTCTCTCCCCCTGTCTCTCTTTCGTCGTTCCGGACGTCCGAGCTCCTTGCTCCTAGGTTCATATAATCACGCTCACATATACACCCACTACGTCTCCTTTGGTGTACCTACATAAACACGTTAGTCGCTATGTGCATCGGCAGTGCGACGTGTAAGACTGGAAGCTTGGAAGTGATTTTCGTGCTGTGAAAGAGAAAGAGGAATAGACTGAAAAAGAGAAAGAGCAACATACGATATACACACACACACACACACATATATATATATATATATATCTATCATACACACATTCGCTTGCTCCATTATTTCCACTCACTCTTTGCTTCTCTCTACCCCCTCCTTCCCGCCCCCCTTCCTTCCTTCTCCCTCTCTCGTTCGTCCCTTTCCATCCTCTTCTAGTGGTCCGTAAGACCCGATTTTTTTGAGGTGGGGGTAAGGCCCACCGTCGCGCGCGCACGTGCGTCCCACCGTACGCTGCTTCTCCTGTCTTTTCTTCTTACACCGCTTCCGACTTGTTCCCCCTACTCTCTCTTTCTCTCCCCTCTTTCCGTTCTCTCCCTTTCCCCTATTTCTTTTTCTTCCTCGTCCTTTCCTTCCCCACTCCCCCAGCCTCTCTCTCTCTCTCTCTCTGTCTGTCTCTCCGGATCGTCCCCTTTTCGGAGTAACGTCCTCCGGGAGTAGTGAGTGTGACGCGGGCTCCGTTCTGTGACGGGAGGGTGGCCAACATCGAACGTGCCGGATCGTACTCGTGCTCTCAAGTGGCTTGTGTGTATATACATTGAAGATCATTCTCTCCTTCGTGAAGATTTTTCTTTGAGGAAAATACGGACTTAAAACAAAGAAAAAGAAGTAAAGAAAAAACGTAGGTAGAAGAAAAAAAAGAAAAAGTGGAAGTGAGGTGAGAGAGAAGGAAAGGATAAATAGAAGACAGCGAAGATCGGCGGCCGTAAACACGCATGAGGGTCTCATGGCTACCGGATTGGTGAAGTGGTGGCGAGCAAGGTTCCTTGCGGGCTACAAACCTTTTTCTGGTAAGCTCTCTCTCTCTCTTTATTTTTTTTCTTCCTTTCTTTATACGAGTATTCTTTTATTTCTCCCGCGTTCTTAACGCGACGCTCCTTGAGAAAATCCTGCGGCTCGTTCAAGGGATCGAGAGATATACGGTAAACCTTTTGCTTGCTTGCTCGCTTGCTTGCTCGCTTGCTCGCTTGCTGGCTCGCTTGCTCAATTTCTTCTATCATTCTATCTTTCTCGCTTTGCTCTTGCTCTTACCACTGGATGCATGGAATGCCAGCATCTCTCTTTTATTCTTGCTCTCATGTTAATTCTCTCTCTCTCTTTCTATACTCTTGTCTGGCTCGCGCATGTTGGAGAGAAGCAAAACGTGTTTACTTAGTAGACTCCGAGCAATCATACGTTTCTCTATTCGCGTTGAATGATTTTCCCCTTACCCTCTGATCTCCTCCTTGCATCATTCCAATTCTCAAAATCAAAGATCATTGATAAATCAATCAAATTCTTGGAACTTACGAAGAAATGTGCATGTGATTCCTAAAACAACACAGGATCGTTCGGTCTTATGTTTACGTTTGTTTTTTGCGTACCACTGTACTCTGTTATGTCGAAATACGTAGTAGTATTGTCATTATTGTTTATGAATGAACGTCCAAGGATTATTATTATGATTATTATTTCAAAATTAAATTATTTTATATTTTAAATGGTATTTTGTTCGTTTTATCATTGTAAAAAAATAATTTATATCATCCGAATCCATTCAATTAATTACGAAGGAGAACGCGTATGTATTACATATAGGTATAGATAAACGATTATCGATAACATTTCGATCAAACGCAGTTGGGGAAGCGTGTCAGATGGATAAAACACTCCTGTATATTAAATGTCAAATACACGCGGACGCCTGGTGTAACCGGTTGACAAGAATCACGTAATGCAAAGGTCACCCATCCGAAACTATTAGAAATTTCTGCAAATGATCTCCATATATCACATCATATACTCATTTTGAAATATTCTTTTTTATCAAGAAATCAAAAAAACATAAAAACTTAATTTTTTCCTTCATTTAAATACCACAAATTGTTGATACACAAATTGTTCGAACAGCGTTGTAATTTATTGGATCGGGGAAAAAGTGTTTCTTCGTATTTCAATACAAAAGTGACACAAGTTTCTGTTCATATTTTCTATCGGACTATCTCCAAATGGTTTCCAATTATTTTCTGGCCCATGTTTAGGTCCTTATCAATTATTACAACTGCTATAATGTGCCGATCTCTCCAAATTTTTTTCCCATCTTTTTGTCGACCTTTCCAGTGATTGGTTGACAATATCCATTTCTACTGCATGTTCTACTGCACAACTATTTTGTCTATTAGTATAACAACACTGTACTTACGTGTTAAAAATAACAGTCTATCAATGGTAATTGTCATTTGAATGAACATTAATGAGATAAGATAATCCTGTACTCGTTTTTAATTAGCAAATGTTTAATATTCAATTAGATACATGAAAACACATAATAACAACAATAATAATAATATTAACATATTAATAGTCATTTAGAGATAATTTTTCGTAATTGCTGCATTAATACATTAGTTAAAAATTCAATCTGATTCCGGAAAATTCGTATTTTTTTTCTGCGCTTGCTCGATATGTCATAAGTCCACGCGTTCTAAAAGACACGCGTGCGCGTGTCTATTCCGACGTGTGTGTTTGTGTGTGGTGATGATGTGAATGTGGAACTCAGCACGTGGGTACATGTTACGTCACGCGTGTGCATTTTTTCTTCTTGCACTTTCGGCACGCTCTCCCTATTATAGTGTGCGTCATGACGCAAGCGTGCGCGCATTTATGTGTATCTTTCTTTTTCTTTCTCTCTTCCTCTTTCTCCGTGGATATTTTTGAAGCGAATGAGCACGAATAAACGTACGTTCCTTGGTACGTAAGTATACCTACCATTACATATACACATACGTATACACGTGTATATCACATGCATGGTATGTTTATACGTGTATGCGTACCGTTGTTGCAAAAAAGTAAGCAGCAGAAGAAGAGACGACGACGGCCAACCACGCGATTCTCTCTTCTTTCCTTTCATCCTTCCGCCTTCTTTATTATACGCCTTTTACGAATGAAATGTATGTATATATGTATGTATATATGTATGTATATATGTATGTATATTAGCGCCTTGCAACTGCCTACACATCGCGTACGTGTTCTTTCGAAAGATACTAAAATATAAGATAACCGAGAAAATAATACTTATTCGTTCCTAAATAATTTCTCGATCATTTATTTCTAATGTACTTTCGAACTTTTTCTCGTTTATTTATATTAACTAACAAATATTTTATATTATAATATACCGTATAACTAAGAAAATTATCAAATATATTTGTCATACAAGCACACGTAAACATATTTCTTTTTTCATAATATTTAAATGTCTCATTGTAAAATAAAAATTCTTGAAATTGAAAATTCTTTGTGAAAAAAAGAAGAAAGAACAAGGTAAAAAAAGGGGGGAAGAGCATATGAAAAAAGTTTTCATGAAACTTAGGGTGGTGAGTTGAGGAAAGAAGAAAGTCAAACGAATAAATACGTGGGATTAATCGATGTTCCTAATCTCTCATTTATCATGCCATTGTTAATCTCTCTTCGACCCTTTTCTCTCGCCCACGCTATCCTTCGCCAGAGGGGATTTACACACGTTGCCCGAGAAGGGTGAACATAATTCCGCATCGCAACGATTTATTTATTCCACTTGGATACCTAATATATATATATACAGATATATATAATTTCAAGAAGAATCAGAGAGAGAAAAAGAAAAGAGAAATGAATGGACGTTAGTTCAATTTTCAAGCTTTGTTTCACCATTAAGAAAAAGAAATAAATGTTCATAAAAATTTGTCTCACCCATTCGAAAATTTACGGAAAAAAAGGAGTGGCAGAGAAAAAGAAATGAATGTTGTTATATTTTGAAGACTTGTCCTATCTATTATGAAATTTACGATAAAAACTGGGATAAAAAGGAAAGAAAAAAAAATCAGACAGACAGTGCAGTGCATTGCATTGCATTGCAGAGCAGAGAAGAGAAGAGCAAAGGGGGAGAAACGGATATGCGTGCATCGGTCGTCCTATTACGCTGAAGCGTACTTACGATTATGTACCGTACACACACGTACGCGTATGCATTATGTCACGCGCGTCTGCCGGTTATCCATTACCCCAACCCCTGTCGGCACGATGAGAGGGACTAAAAGAGGGAAAGAAAAAGAGAATGAGAGACGGAAAGACAGAGATAAAAAACTAGAACGAGAAGTGGTGGTTGAGGGTAGAGAGGGGATGGTTAGAACGAGTTTATATCCTGGAAAAGCCTGCCTCTATCCAATGATAAAAATTACGACCGAGCAAACAGAGGAGACTGATTTACAAAGAAGAAAAAGGAAGGAGGAGATGGTAAAGGGGGTGGTGGATGAGGAGAAAGAAGAAGCAAACAAAAAGGAAGGAGAGAAAGGGAGTAAGGAAAGAGAGGAAAGGAAGAGCGTACCGCTTATACGTTGGAAACTCCCCTGTGTACACTTCTTTTTTTCTCTTTTTTTCTTTTTTTTCATTTTTTTTGTACGAAAGGAAAAAAGAGAGGGTGGTAAAAGGCAACTGCTGCGAGTCACAGTGGAGATGATGGTGACGATGGTGGTGGTGATGGTGGTGGTGGTGGTGATGGTGGTGGTGGTGGTGGTGGTGGTGGTGGTGATGGTGAGTTCCCGTAAAACGGTTTATGCACTTGTAGAAGAACCGTGAGTGTGGAGTTTAATTATCAGACCCTCTTGCGAGTTCATTAGATACATTAGGTGGTACTTAGGGGAATAAAATGTGTGCGTTTATTGGGTCGAGAAAAAAGTTTCTTTTCTATTTCATATTTTGTAATCCTGAATCCTCTAAATGACTTACAATTGTTTTATGGCTAATGTTTAGTTTTTTACCGGTTGTCACAACTGCTAATGTGTCGATCTTGCTGAATTTTGTCCACGATTTTCCAGCGATCAGTTGACTACACTGAAGTGTACCTTTGACATCCAAATTTTTCAAATTCAATGTGTGTGAACAAATATTACAATTATTTTTTATTACTCTATGATGTGTCAAGTTTCAAACCGACGCAAGTGTTGATAAATTCGATTAGTATCACCAACGTTATGCGATCTAATCCATCATCTATTAGAAAAATACGAAAAAATGTTTTCCGCGACCCAATATAATTTATATATACGCGGTTTCTTTATTCTTTTGATATTTCACACAGCAAAAGAAGAATTTCTTATTCATCTGTTGGTTATGTGTCGTCCTTCTTTTTCTTTTTTTTCTTTTCTACACGGAGAAAGAGAGCGTTCGAGTTTTTTACTCTTTGCTCTTTGCGCTCGATTCTCTGTCTCTGTTTTTTTTCTGTCCTCTTTTGTATCTTTTCTGATTCACCCTTTTTCTTTCTTATTTTTTTTTAATTGTTTCTTTCTCTTTTCTTTTTTTGTCTCTGTTATTCGCGTACGTTACCTTACCACTTCAGTGATTCGACGAATTCACGTTTAAAACCTTCTTTGTGATCTTTTTCCTCTTCTCTCTCTTTCACTTCCATTTACAACGTCGATATTTTAATTGTAAGCAGAAGCATTCCGTACGAATGGACTTTTAAATCGTCATCGTGGTAGAAAATTGCGGCGCTCCTCTCTCTCTTTCTTTCTTTTTCCTTCCTTTTTTCTTTTTCTTTTTTACGATTTTTAGGATTCATATAATAGGCGGATAAAATTTCTTTACGAGGAATTCAAGACGTAAAAAATTCGTCGAACTATAATATGATTTTATGAATGAATTTAAAAAGTATTTAGCAAATAGAATCAAAATAAAGACGATCGCATCACTGGTAAACTTACTTATTTTTTTATTATTCTTATTATTATTATTTTCATTCAATGTTTTATAATAAAAAAAGCCTTTT